CAACCCTTCACAGAATTTGAAAATCAATTAGGTGGTATTGGTCAAAGAGGACAATTCACCACCTCTCAAATGGTCTTTGGCACGTATCAGTGAGATACCTCACAGCCCAGACGGCAAAGTGAGGTTAGTTAAAATTAAAACCCAAGATGGAATTTTCTATAGGTCCATTACAAAATTATGTCCTTTACCTGATGATCAACCTATAAATGATTGTGACGATTCTTAATGTAATTATTGATTACTGATAATATTATTATATTTTATAGCTTAGGTTAAGGAGTAACTTGTTGATAGTTTATAATAAGTGCTTAGTAAAAAGTGTGAATAGTGCTTTTCTCAGTGCGTTCATTTGATTTTTTGTTGGACTTTTCATCAGGAAATGCCCAAGGCGGGAGTATGTTGGATTTTCTAATAATTATTCCTGATTCTGATATTATTAATTATATTATGGTGCAATCTATACTTATTGTATTGGTTACAAGTATTGGTGCAATATCAATTCTCCCAAAACATAAAAAAACACACAAGAAGGAACAAGTTTTTAATATGCTTCTTCCCCCCAAATTCCAATAATGGACTCGTCCACACCTAGATATTTTAAGGGAAGCGCCATTTCTGTATAAATTCCTAGGGGAGTCGTGAGTTGGCTATCGCAAAAATAGGTACTGTGCTACCCGCCGTATTGAAGAAGCGGCGTCGCGAAGTCGCGTCCAATTTTTATTTAATTAGCAAGAAATTGCTATTGCACAAAATACAGACAATAAATAAAAAATGTAACTTTGTTTATTGCCGATTGTCATCGTAATGTTTTGAAAAGTTAATACAGTCCACTTTTATTAAGAACAACCCGGTGTTTCGTAATTATTTTCTATTACATAACCTCTCGGGTAAAAATGAGCTATTGAAGCTTTTATGTGTTAACACTGGCTAAAAGCGTACTGCTTGACAATGGGAGGCGCTTGGTTTTTTAAATTAAATATTAACATACAAGGACTAGCACGCATTACGTGGACGGGTTAGTTTGGGTTGGTTTGCATATTTTTGGTTAGTTTCGTTACAGTTCATTTAATACTGATAAGAAGTGTACTGATTGCCAATAATATTTTGACCTGCGCCCTTTTGTCCGCTCGCTTTTGAGCTGCGCTCTTTTGTACCAACGCTGAATTTACGGTTCCGCGGATCTTCTCTTTGAGATTCGGTGAGCGAAGCAAGCAATCGGAGATTCAAAAATAATTGAAATTTCGAACTGTTGTATTTAAAAAAGGTTTTTCACGTTTTTGGTAGATTTACGCTTCCGAGGCGTATAAGTACATTTATTAACAGTTTTCCATTCGAACAATTTTTCTTTCGAACAATTTTCTATTCGAACAATTTTCCTTTCGAACAATTTTCCATTCGAACAATTTTCCCTTCGAACAATTTTCCCTTCGAACAATTTTCCTTTCGAAAAATTTTCTGTTCGAACAATTTTCCTTTCGAAAAATTTTCTTTTCGAATAATTTTCCGTTCGAACAATTTTCCTTTCGAAGAATTTTCCGTTCGAACAATTATTTTCGAACAATTTTCCGGGACTCAGGCATTTACATAGGATTAACAATAATTTTTGCATTTAAAATTGTTGAGGACCTTTGTGTGAGTTAAATAATGTCATCTCGCAGGACTTGAATTTACGTTTTTTTGTTTTACAGAAATGTTTTTGGGGATAAAATAAAATTATTCCATCAGTTATCAGTGTAATGACGCCGACAAAACCGCAAGACTCGATTGTACATTTTTAAATAAACATTTAAACTAATAATCTATGTTTTTTAGATATAAATACGTTACCATTTTGTTTTTGCAAATGTGAACAAATTTGGTCCCGGTGTTGCTGAATTTCTTGGAATAATTTATTGATGAGAGAAAAAATAGCTAGGATCTTTTGATAACACAAGTAATTAGAATCTTTTTTAGGCTATAAATTATAATCAATTTTATCCCAAGGTTGGGCGATGTCTGGACGCCTGAATATTTCCCAATAATAAAACTTGTTTTCTTACGTGACATTTTTAAATTAAACTTTAAAACTAATCCAAGTGTAGTTTTTCTCAAGTAAAGCTCCGAACGCGCATATTTCCCTGAGCCGATATCAATCGACGATGCAGTAGGTGCGCGGGACAAATGATTATGTATGAGATATGAGAGTGAGATATGAGGTTTGAGGTATGAGGTATAAGAGCGAGAGAGAGATATGAGGTATGAGGTATTGGAGCGAGAGAGCGAGGTGCGAGTTACGGCATCATCATCAGTACCTTGTATGGGGCACCAAGGTGTCAGTATGCACAATGAACCTGCTGCGGGCTATGTCCACTGCCTCTCAATGGATTCATTGAATATTTTACAATTTTTATTTCCTCGACAACAGACTTTTTCCCCCATCAATTTGAATTAGTTAGGCCATTATCAGTATGAGGTATGAGACACCCGAAGTGCCTGTATGCCCGAGGTGGCTGACCGCACCTCATGATTGTGTGTTACCTCCTCCTTTTCACCATTTATTATCAACTGCTAGGATAGCCTAGTGGTTGCTGCAGCGGGCTTTCAAGCTGGGGACGGGAGATCGGTTCTTAGCGGCTACCGACTTTTTGTTAATTACTATTTCGCGATGCTGTAGCTGCGCGGGTCGATTATATATGAGAGTGAGAGAGAGAGGTATGTATAAGGTATGAGAGCAAGAGAGCGAAAGTTACGGCATCATCAGTATCAGGTAGCAAGTATGTGCGGCTGCCTCGGCGGCGGCTGCTGAGGTAGTGCGAACGGTCGATGCAGACCTGGGCGCTGGAAAGGGGGCGGGGCTTATTCGAGGAAATTTTACCCCCACTCCAAAATGGTCCGAAAAGTGCCAGAATGGACCTGAAATTTTCTTATGGAGATTTGCATGGGAAATGGGTGATTTTGGCCCAGTTCTCTTGCTGCACCTTTACTCCATACCAATAGATCACAATCAGCAACAACATCACTATCCAGAAACTCCCTATAATGATTTTAAAAAAAGTCGACCTAACTCATATTTCTTAACCAAAGACTTGAATCGCTGAGCTGTCAGTTATCTTGTAGATGTAGATTGTAGATTTCGGGGGAGTCGTATCGGCTTTTCAGCCGCTCAGCACTGCTACCTTTGCAGATATTTTGTGCGTGACTCTACATCTTAATTTGTCTCCAGGAAGCGTAGACTTCTGCCGAAGGAAGCTATTTTCCTGGGTGTCAGTTGGCCCACTTCTGGTGACAGTGTTGCCCTCTCGAGGAATTTGAGCCTCTTGCAGAATTGGGCTGGACATTCGCAGAGCAGGTGCTCTGCGGTTTCTATTGCGTCTGATGTCAGTTATCTTACAGAGGCAGGCAATTTATTATAAAAGACGGAAGCAAAATAAAGTGTTGCATTCCTTGACGTTGTTAGTCTGAGAAAATCAATTCTGATATTGTTGCGATGTCTGGTATCAGAGTTTTCTTTGGAAACGAAGTTTGAAACACACTGCTAAAAACTCGTACGATGAATTTGTATTGTTTCTGAGATTACACAATACCCGAAGTTTGAATATCGGTTTCGAGGTTATTAACTCTCTTCAGTGCAATTATAAGGGAAAGCATACTGTGCGAAATTAAAAATGGAAAATCCACAGATTGCTGATAGAATGATAATCGATGAAAGATTTTAAATTGAAATTGAAAGGTATCGAAACTGAAAAGGATATTTTTCCACCTTACCTGGCTTTACTTCCAAACTCCATTCAGCTGGCCAACTCTTTCATGAAGTTCAAGTCCAATGCGAAGGAGTACAAATGAAACCGTCTTGATTGAAACCGGTCACGGCAAGCGAAAAGAAACGGTCTATTTTCTCGAATCACACGAATCGGTCGAAGTGTTTTTGGCGACTGATTTACTGGTCGACAATGTAAGGACTTGCAGATATCCTTTTTCAGTGTTTAACGCGCGCATTCTTAAAAGCCAAATTTAACAAAGCCGTTTCAACTCTTAGGTATAAAATGCGCAATTATTCAATTAGATTAAGAGAAACAAAAAAATAAAGAAGAAAAGAAAAACGAATCAATTTGCATTCCCAAATAGGATTTGACATCCTAAATACCCAATTTAACCTACAACTATATACAGGGCGCGTAGACGAAACTGAACACATACCAATTCAGAGAAACAAACTTAGGCGATGCCAATGATAAGATAATAAGCTCGAACTCAGTACGCAATAGGGTACTTGCATGGAAAATTAAATTGATTATTGTTTATTGCAAACTGTAGGAAATCGAAAAAAAATCGTTACTTTTTTTTCATTTCGCCCAAATATGATTATTTCGGAAGTTATACAAATATTAAGTTTTGTATATATAGATATAGTGAGCATGTGCGACGTCATAAAGTATTATACCTGATGACGTCATAGGTATATTTCATAGCGTTGTATCTCCGTCAATTTTTGACTAAGAAGAAAAAGAAAAAACACGTGTTGACTTATTTTTGATGGACTATCGAAATCAGCAATAAAAAAATTTGATGCAAGGGGCCTATTAGCGCAGTATCCAATGATTAAGGCTTTGGTTTCTCTCCCTTGTCTCATAAAGCAAAACCATACGTCATATAGTGTAATAACTGTGACCAGAATCAATACAAACAATTCTCTTCGTCAACAGTCTTCTACTCAACCTATGGTAACTTGGGAAAACTCCAAAACTGTCCTGACTAAACAAAACCAACCAAACATGTTGTTGGCCCTCGCAAAGTGATAAGTGAAACTAGGTTCGGTGTCTAAATATTCACCTAGATCAATATCTTCAAGGTGCACTTTATTTATTGAATACGAAACTGAAATTTGAAGTTATTATTCAGTTTTACACGAAGAATTAAATTTTTAAGTTATATTAACTATTTTAAATGTAAAATGGTAACACACCTTGTTAAAATGTGATCAAAGTTAATGAAACGATGTGTACAGTATTTTTTTATCCCAGGTATGGTTTGGTTATCCAAGGAGGTCCCTTAGAACCAGACCGTCTAAAATACGTCTCAATCAGTAATGCCTTGGTAAAATTAGGGTGGGCCTTCAGAGTACAGCGGCCTGTGATTCCGAAAAAAACAATTTCTGTGACCGCCGAAATACATGAAGTTAAAACTGCCTCTAATGGCGACGATTTGATGAAGGTAAAAAAAAAGAAACATTGATACATTTTCAATGCCTTGTCTTTGACATGATTATTATAATTAATTAATATTTTAGAGTCTTCTTAATATCTCAGACAGTGAAACACCTGCTGCGGCAGATAAAGTTCTTGAGGTTGAAGACACATCAAAAGCAGATGATGCTGAAGGTAACAAATTGTCCAATGAGGAAGCAAATGTACTAGAAAAAGATGAAATTGAAATAAGCCAGGTATCAGATAGCTGAAATAATTGGTTTTTAAGTGATTCTAAATTTCCTTCTTTTAGGAACACGAGTTAATTGAAAACATCGGCAAAAAATTTCAGGAAATTTCTGAAAAAATGACTGCGAAAAAATTCTCAGACCAAGAAAGCTGGAATGCCATAATTGAAGAAGAAATGGAACACTCCAAATCTGAGATAAACTCGGACGATGAAGATAAAGGTTAAACTCCAGTATTAGAAATTATTCATTAATAATTATTCCAATAATTTGCAGAAAGCACCAATTCCTCACCTTATCACAAAAGCGAAGTGGCCATTGACGATTGGATGCCAGCTTACAGGCTCAAAAATCGAGAATTTAGGGTAACAAATTTCCAAAAATAGATTCCATGTTAAGTTATTGATAATTTTATAGGGAAGAGTAACTTGTGTTGAAACTAGCGGAAACCTATATGTGCACGATGAATCTTTGCATAACATTTATAACCTGATGGAAACTAATATTAAGGAATATTTTGACACCAAACCACCGAGATGTACTGAAAAAAATTGGCAAACTGGACAATTATGTACTATTAAATTTACTGATGGAAAATGGTAAGTGCATGCAATTAAACATCTTTAAAATCTATAAACTATGAATTAGGAACTTTCTCCTAGGTAGTAATGTCTCATACATATTAAAAGAAATCCCAACAACTGTAAATTCAAATTTGAACGTGTGCCACGCTTTTCCGCTGATTTAAAAGTTTAGAGAGGAAAAAAAAATTAAATTAAATAAATAAAAATAAAATTTAATGAAGAACTTGAGATTGTAGGACTGAAGGTCGAAGGGCGTGCAAATTATTAGCTCAGAATTAAACGGAGAGTAGGGGTGGGTTTTAGTTTTGAGCGCCACCGACTCTGGAGAGATGAGTCGGACTCTCCAGGATGTTATCTGGGTCCAGGTCCTTACAATTCAAATAATAATAAAGAAAAAGAAAAATATTTAAGAAAAGCTAAAACAAGGCTGTGTGCATAAAACCAAATAAAACTCCCTTTGTAATAGAACCACTCCAGTCAGCAGTCTATAGAAATGAGAATTGTAACTGCGCGCATCAGTGATTCAGTGATGTCTAGCCAGTGGTTTTGAAGGTATGGAAGGAATTCGGACGTAAATGTGTTTCAATAACAAAATATCGAAAATAAGAATACGCTAAATATTTTAACGTGTTTGTTAAATCTCTTCTTATTCATTAAGGGTATTGAATGCGCCGTTTAAAATATATTGTAACGCACGTCGAACTATACGACTACCCAACAAGTTAATGCTAATAAAGATGCAAGGTTCATCGCGATTATTGCATTGGGCTACTGTTGGGCCGTTTGGCGCTGGATCCTTCATGATAGGGATTTGAAATTTATCGCAAAACAGGCGGAGGAAAGAACCATAGGGTTTGCTGCGGGTATAACAGAGACAGGCAAAAGGACAAGAAGAATTAATTAAATTTCTACAAAAAAAAACTAGAAATTATTGGGATTGTGGTTTGTGCTATTGTATTGCAAACACACATAAGATTGACGCTAATTAAAAAAGACACCATAAATTGATTAATTTTCTCGTTTTTTTCCAGTTTGAATTACATTTTTGTAATTTTTGGAGAACTGGTTTCTATTACCGGATTTCTAAAAAGATCCTATATTATAAATCGAATGCAAAAAAGAATTTTGATATAACTTCAACTGCTAAAAAGTTACGTTGAAACTAAGAACGCAATGCATTCCTTGTTTCATTCATCTCATTCCCACTAAGGAGTATTAATAGGGGAGGAAGAATACAATGATAGACTGCGTTAGGTGCTTCGCGCAGGAAAAAATATTTTGGCATCAAGGCGCATTCAATCCCCTTAACTGATTTTATTCAATTTTGTCTATTATAAAAAGTAAACATTTTCTAAAGATACCATCAACTTTTATCAATTTGGCAAACATCCAGCCTGGATGAACCTGTTTGGTGGAGTTTTTTGGCACGATCGCCGTTGCCATGGGGCACCATGCGGTTGCCATGGGACTTACATCTCGCTATTGGCCAGGGCTCCCGTAATTTTATCCTCCTATCTTGAAACATCGACTTATATTGAAATATCCAGTGGCGGTGGAGTAGTCATTGGTCATTGTCGATTTTATGTCAATAACTTTTCACAACAATACATCATAATTTTTTTAATCAATAATTTTTCAATAATTTCATGTCTTTGGAACGAAAAATGATAAAATGAAACTATATAATGTATATACGTAAATCATTTTTTTCAAATTGAAGAATGCGATCCTACTAGTCCCTAGTCTTGACATTGTATTTTTGACAGTAGTTGTGAATGGTGTGTATTCAGTGACGCATTGAGAAAATATTATGGAAAAATCGTGTGAGATTTGTGTATTTTGCATAAAAAAAGGAGGCAGCATATAGGTTATTATATAGGTATAGGTATAGGTTATTTTATTTTATCATTCTTCGTTCCAAACAACTGAAATTGTTTTTTGTTTTTTTCTGAAAAGTAATTGACATATTGAGGCAATAGGTACTAATGCGCGCAGTTACCATTCTCACTTCTATAGACTGCTGACTGAAGTGATTCTATCACAAAGGAGTCTGACTGTCTTTTCTATCAACTTTTTAATTGTAATTATTATTTTGGAAAGTTTCAGCATCCAGAAAACTCTTAGGGTCAGGACATTTTTTTGACAGGTATGGAGTAGCGCTGACGCTATGTGTCCCCATATTTCGCTGTCTGACTATTAGATTCCTGTTTTATATTATATTTGCTCGTTGTCTATAAATTTTGAGCTTTGAGAAAACAGTTCAGAGATGCTTCTTAAAATTACAACTTTGCGCGCGTCCCAGCGCCAGCTGTCCCGAAACTGTAAGTGCTGACTGTGCACAGGCTTTCTACCACTAAAGTACAACCTATTTTGAAAATATCAGCCTTCCGAAAACTCTTGCATGTTTTCGACGCCAGCTCGCCAACTATTATTACCTGTTGGAAATAGGGTTTTGTTTGCCTCAAAAATACTCTGGAAATCTGGATCGAGGTCTGGATTGGATATCCTGGAGTGAGTGAGATGTTCCTCTACTCTTTAGGGCAGCTTTTCACTAATGATTAAATGGAAAAAGTCAGAATCTACTGTGGAAAAAAACGTGCAAAGCAACTTACCACATGGAGTTGTAAAAATCCGAATTAATCGGCAAAAATTATGACACTCTACGAAAACGTAAGACAACGAAGGCATCAAAACGTGTTATAAATTCAATTGAGAATATAAGGTCAAAATCCCACAAGAGCAAAGACACTTCTCAAAAAGACCTTATTTCTCCAACGCCTAGATGTGAAAAGAAATGTGCTACACATAAAATATAAAATTAATTAGCTGACTTAAAGGTAGGGATTCAGAGATGATTCAGAATAACGACAAACATCAAAAATTAATCTATAGAATCCTTACTTACCAAAAATTGCACACAACAATATAATCAGAGAAAAATTGCAACAGCTGATGAATAATGATAATAACAACAAGTAATTATCCAATAGAACAATCATAATTTGAAAAATAGGACATGGAGTAAGCGATCGGTGTTGCAAAAATAATGGGCTTAAAAGGAATCGATGATACCAAAAATCGAGGGGCAAATCGCTGATCAAGTTTGTACAGGAAATTCCAAAAAAATGCCAACTAATTCCAAAAAATGCCAACTAATTCCAGAGATTCCAAAAAATGCTAAAAAATGCCAAAAAATTCCAAAAAATGCCAATAAATTCCAAAAATAAAAAAATGCAAAATGTGTGTTCCTGACATTTTAGTAGTGGGTATCTACATAGTGGTAGGTATGTAGGTACCGGGTGAATGTCTTTATTTTGCACCCACACCTATCTCATCTGTTTGAAGAGATACCCAGAAATGTCACATGTGAAAGTTGTAGGTAATATCAGAAAGTTTTCAATTATTTTAGTTACAAGCATACAGTGTGTGTCACAAAAGTGTGGCGAAACAAAGTTATATTTTTTTAAATGGAAAACATATATTATTGTCCCATTGGATTAGCCTTTCCAACATTCCAAATATACTTGGTTTTTTAGGATTATTCCTTATATTCCAGGAGAAAATAGGACAAAAAGGAGTGGAATAATTGGATTTTTTATTGAAAAAGGTGAAGTATAGGGACCACTAGCAAAATATAAAGGTAATCATTCATGTAAAAAAAATCCATATTATTTCTTCAAAATAGGATATTCAGAGGCTGGACTATGAGGAATAATCCTAAAAGACCTAGTATATTTGGAATCAGGTTTGAGAAGCTAATTCGATGGCACAATAATATACAGGGTTTTTCATTTAAAAAAGTATAACTTTGCTTCGCCGCACTTTTGTGTTACACCTTATATACTTGTAAACTAACATCATTGAAAACTTTATGATATTAACTACAACTTTCACACTTGACATTTCTGGGTATCTCTTCAAACAGGTAAGATAGGTGTGGATGCAAAATATAGACAATCACGCGGTACCTATATTAAACTATGAAGGATTTTAAAAATAGTTATTTTTGTCTCTAGTACGCGAAATGCCATTTCGCGCACGAGTTGCAAACAATATTTTTTCTACAACTGTCAAAAAAGATTGTTCGCACACTCATGACAGTTTGCGAAGTGACACTTTTTTTCCCAGGTATTGATTTTTTAACGTTCCCATGACGCCGTGCGCGAACTAGCTATTTCGCACACTAGTGCGCGAAATAGGTAGTTTGCACACTGGTGTCATGGTGACACATACCTGTCAGGGAACCAAAAATAATTAAAATTCACCTACCTTTGATTGAGAATGCAATTTTGGCTTCGAATGATCAATATTTAAATGGAGTTATAGAAAAAATATTGTTTGCAACTCGGGCGCGAAATACTTTGGTGATGAAGTTGCATTTCGCGGACTAGATACAAAAATAACTATTACTTTGATTGGTAAGTAAACAGATGACGTCGTTAAGTGGTTGTTATGGGGATTTGCATTATGTGTAGGCATACAGATGACGTCATAAAAGTTATCAGGCAACCTACCTCTTTTAAACAACCTTGCCCAACCCAAATATTTTGAAAATTATTCAACTGGTTCAATATAAAGTTTCGCTAATCGATTCGATATATTGGTATCGTATCGATACCGATGTAGAAACACTCTGAATCGATGCATATTTATTGCATCGATACGGCCTTCAGCGATGTTGTCGAGGTCTAAACGGATAATCACGTTGTCAAATAACAAAATATGACGTTTGATTTTTCCTCTTTTTCGAAAGATAGAAAGAGAACGAATGTTTTATTTCATAAATTTAACGTTATGATTTTTAATAGGTGCATGGCAAAAAAATTAAATTAAAATTTTTAATTTTTTCAATTTTCTTTGCTGCTTAGGTATAGATGGCACCACACAAAATTAGCATATCGATACAAGTATCGAATTATGGATTTAAAATATCGATACTACTTTAAGCGTATCGATATTTTTAAAATATCGTATCGAGAATAGAAATATCCATAAGCGAAACTTTAGTTCAATCGATAGCTTTGAATTTATTCATCGATGCGGCATATAAGGTTGTTCTATAATCTATCTAATAAAAAGGATGTTATACATTGAAGTGACCAGATCTTGAAAGTCCAAAAGCGGGACAAAGTCACAAAGTTCTCAAAAATCTCGTTTTCATTTTTAGTCTTAGTTTTTTTCGGGTGCCTGGGTAGTGATAAAGTTATATTACATTACGAGTGTAAAAAGTGACAAATTTCACACCAGTGCAAATCACACGAGTGTATGAAAGACGCTTTCTTACAAGTGATGTACGCCATTTTTCCTACGACCAGAAACCGATTTACACCAATTTTCTCATCATTTTTTTTTTTTTTTTTCGTTTTCCAACACACGTGCTGAAAGTACTTTCAACCACGTATTGAAAGTAAATTGTAATGTGAATCAGAAATAATGTCAACAGTACTTTTCACACGTGTGCTGAAAGTACTTTTAGCACGCGTATTGAAAGTATTTTCGGCACGCCTGTGATATTTAGCGTTACTAAGCGCGCGGTGGTCCATATCTCCTATGCTAACGGAGATCCAAGAAAAAACTAAATAGGTACAAAACTTGTAGACAAACATCAGTACTGCATTCCTAAATTATTTTCCAGTATACTTTTTTTTTTAAAAACAATTTAATTCCATCATTCCAACATGGGTTTCTTTTGAAACACTCAACAACTACCAACTTGCTTGAATGTTTAAATGACTGGACAGAAAACCATGGCAATGCTTAACCCACAGACGTGATTTTCCTGGACTATGGAAAGCCTTTGATAAAGTGCCACATAAGCTCTTGTGGAAAATTGGAGCACTCTGGAGTGTGTGGGCATTGATTAGAGGGTCGTATGATAAACGATACAACCAAGTACGAGTAAATGGAGAAATGTCAAGCAGATACTTAGTTCAAAGTGGAGTTGTCCAGGGACTGGGCTTGGGGCCACTGCTTTTTTTCACTGCTTATCTAATTGATCTTGCTGATCTGATTGAAACCACACTGAAAAATTTTGCTGATGATGATGCAAACCCACTACTTAATGCATCAAGGTAGGGTAGTTTACTTGTGGAATGCCTTATCAGAACATACAGCTCGACATACAGTGACCGTCCTGAATATAAAGACGGTAAAAAATCGATTAGACAGAGACTTAAAAAAAATGCAGTTAGGATGATTCATTCGGTCATATGCATAAAACACGAGCATATGCTTTTGCTTGAGTTTTTTGAGATAAACATATTCAGCTTTAATGCAGCAAAAAGAGACGAAGGTAGAGTAAAAGCGTTTGGTACACTATTCATATGACTTTTTATAGTGCATAGTAGTGAACAACAACTTCAAAGACTAAACAATAGCTTTATCGGTTCTACCGCCTGCTATTGGAAAATAACAATTACAGAATAACATACAGGGTATTTCATTTGAATGCTACACTTTTGTTTCTACAAGTCACATTCAAAGCTCCACTTAGATTAAATATCCTTTAATACATAGTTGTATTTGTTATTAAACAAAGTATTTTTCTAGGTACAGAGGTAAAGTCCTGAAGGTCATAAAACCAGATCTCATCAGCGTGTTCATGATAGATTTTGGCAGTGATCACGAAGTTTCTCCTGACGCCCTCTTCAGAGAGGTACTTTACATAGATTTAGGAGCATTTGCCACCCGAGTCAGATTAGATCAGGTAACTAAAGATTTCCACGTTATGTATAACATACAATAATCATCAACACTATCACTGTGACTTCTTTGACCTAATTTTTTATTTAAGGTCTACTCACGATCCGGTACATGGTTGACCTCTGACTATGACCATTTCATGGACCTTTGTTCTGATTGGTGTCGGATTGTCGTTAAGGGACCACTCGAAGTAGAACTACCTTTAGTGGATGTCTATAATGAAAGTGGTGTATTCGTGAATCGAAAATTAGTAGAACTTTGCCCTAATTTGTCCATGTAAGTGCATTTCATCATTATTTTCAACTTACGTGAGTATTTATTGTGTTAACAGGTGCTCAAACTTTCCAATTCAAACTGAAGAAGAAGAAGAGGATGCTTGCATTGTTATTGAAAGTGAGGAATGTGCAAATGAGGTAATGAAAGTAAGCAAACAAAATGTTTTGGTATAATTCGTAGTTGAAATGTTTTAATAATCAATTATTTTTATTTTAAAGCAGCTTGTTATGATTAAGGTATTCTTGTAGACTGATTTGTTGTAGTTTTTCATTGAGATACTCAGTTTCTAATATTTTTTTTAGTCTCTCATGGAAAGATTGGAGATGCAACTTGTTGTGCCTCACTATAACAATACGTCTAGATCAACTTACAGTGTGCGTCCTGTGCTTCAAGAGTTACTAGATGGGGAAAAGGTAGGTGACTTTATACATAATGAATGCTTTACATTGAGACAAGTGAAAAGTATAAAAATTTTCAATGTAGACACCGTTATTACAATGAGAACACAGAGAAAATTTTATGAAAATTTTGAAAACAAAATATCCTTGCTTGATTCTGAAAAATTACGTTTCTTTTGTCGTAGCGAATTATCTGAATTTTATTTGTTGTTGTAACATCTTTATGATCTTTGGATAATGATTATTATTTTGTTTAGGTCCTTATGGAAATTGGTGGCATTCTGAATTACGACCGTATTCTATTCCACTTACCAGATAATGACGTGAGTGAAGTAATTTACAATCTCATCTTGGATATACAAGATATTGTTGGGAATCTGCCCAATTTAACTAGTAAGTATTTGCCTGAACCAACCAAAAACACATTAAGTAAAAATATTTTTTGCAGCGTTTACTGTTGGTACACCTTGTCTGGCTCCATTTTCCGAAGATAACGTCTGGTACCGAGCGAAAATCATGGGCAATAAGCCGACCAGTGAAGATTTATTTGACGTGCTATTCGTGGATTATGGAAACTCGCAAACAGTGGCTGCTAAAGATTTGAAAATAATTCCGAATGACTATTTGGAGCTGGCGCAACAAACTTGGGAGGCCTCACTGAATGTTACTTTGGAAAAAACTGGTGATTTCATTAATGTTATGCAGGTAAGTTTTACATTTCAACATGAATCAAAATCACATACATTTTACTTTTTGCCTCATCATTTTCAATTTTCCCCTGGTTGCATCATTGGGAAGGAGTCCTGTCATTCCTATAAAATCAATGAACATTCAATGTTTATTTTCAGGTCATAAATGCACTTGACAAAAAGAAAATATTCGTCAAGCTTGTTAACGAGAATCCATTGGTTGTCGATTTATTCGACAAAAATGGCAAAATGTGTTACGCAAATTTGATTGACAACGGCTCGCTGAAACAATTAATGTGATCATCAGTATAGTTCTCTAACTGATTAGTTAGTAAGTAAGTAAGGCTGTATTTTAGAATTATTATGATTTACTTTGGCTTAAGGGAATTTATTCTGCCCAGTACATATTTGGTTTATATGTAGGTTTAAATTGGATTAATCTCTTTAATTTATTTTAAGAAAACTGATTTTCTTTTTTTTGTGATTAAGTTGTTTTGTATGTTTTTGATAATAAAGTTTCAATATGGAGACTTGTTTTTTTTACTTATTACCTTTTTGTCATGACTAAATAACAAACAGTACCACACCAGTACCAGTACCTACCTATTAATATTTAGTGATGACTTCTGAATACAGAAATATCTTATTTCTATGTCTTGTAAATTCCTGTATTGGAATTTAGGAGGATGCTCAGAACACTTTTAGTTACTCACTAAGAACCAGTGTTGGATTAATATGATTTTTATTAAGGTTTAAAGTCAACCCCTATTTTCTGAACCTTGTGTTCAAAAATTCCAAAAAATATATATGTTTTATGGTTATCGATATACTTTAATCCATAATTTTTCTAAGCAAATTTGACTCGCCATTTTTGAGTTATATCGCAAAAACTGAAAAAAAAGTCGTTTTTCACCATCTATTTCAAAACGAATAGATGAAGTTTCCCGTTATTTTTATTACGAACTACTATTGCAAGTCTACGCGACATATATTTTTTTCAAATTTTTTGAACGTAGTTTTCTCGCTACTACAAAAAATAGTTGGAAATACGCCCGTAGCTACATTGTTTAGAAAAAAATCCGACGGATGAACGTTCAAAATTATTTGCGTTGGTCGAAACTACAACCCTGTTTATGTAAAACAGAATAATACTTCGAATTTCCACCAAAAAAAGAAAAAACGGTCCAAAACACAATTTAACCAAATGAAGATTTCTATTTTTTTTTAACAGTCAAGTTAGAACACACTATAGGGGCGACAGCATTGACATCTCGCGTTGAAGTAATAAACTATAGGCCTGACTTTAAACCTTAAACAATGGCATGTAATATTGACAGTTGAGTTGAAGAGGGCGCTTCTGTACTTGGAGCTATTTGAATTTTGGCGCGTAAATAATTGATTGTAATTTTAACCCCAAAAGTTAAATCTGATGTGTGGTTTCAAGACAAGCTGTCGCTGACACTTTTAAAAATATTCTCTAGGGCCACTGAATGCTTTGGAAGATATTTTAACTTATTCATTGTTTATTGTTCATATTGTATTGTAGTCATCTTTCTTTCTACTCAATTTAAACGGAATAAAACTATTGACATTTACCGCCAAAATTTGAAGCACTCCAAGTTCACTCGCGCTCTCTACAAAATTTTGGAAAACTTAACTGGTTATTTGCTGCCATTAACAACTATTTATATACAAAAAAAGGAAATTTGACACACGTCATGAACAATGGTAATTAATTGAAAAGAATAAACCGCACATCAAAAGATTTGGTAGTTATGTTTCCTAGTGACCCACTGGCGGTGCATTGGTGTCGATGACCTAAGAGTACACTGGACACTAATAATTAATTAATTTTTGTTATGATTTTGATATACAGGGTGTCCCACGGTGGATGGCGTATTAGACGTTTATGGAGAACTAAAAAGTGGATCATTTTGAAAATTTGGCAACCGGGATAAACGACCATGATCTACACTTTAAAAATATTTTTGACCATGCGGTGTTGCCGCTTCTACTCTAAACTAGTGGCAACATCACTATTTTAAATGGAACAGCCCGTATTAAATTACATATTTGGATTCTACGTAAAATTCTGAGCAGATTTCATGTGATATACCCTATACCTAAGTTCAACTGTTTTGGAAATATTGACAGTTGAAAATTGACTTTTTGCAACTTTGACAGGCTGTAAAACCTAATTGGTTAATTTTAGAGGAAAACCGATTTCACATTCCTGTCTTAGATTTTGATAAACTATCATTTGACACCAACTTTGAACTTAAACGGAGATTAAATTTAACTGAAATTTTTAATCATGGATTTAATTCAAAGATGGTGTCAAATGATAGGTTATAAAAATCCAAGATAGGAATGTAAAATCGGTTTTCCTCTAACATTAACCGTTCAGGTTCTACAGCCTGTCAAAGTTGCAAAAAGTCAATTTTCAACTGTCAATATTTCCAAAACAGTTGAACTTAGGTATAGGGTATATCACATGAAATCTGCTCAGAATTTTACGTAGAATCCAAATATACAATTTAATACTTACTATTTAGTTAATAATTCCATTTAAAATAGTGATGTTGCCACTAGTTTAGAGTAGAAGCGGCAACACCGCATGGTCAAAAATATTTTTAAAGTGTAGATCATGGTCGTTTATCCCGGTTGCCAAATTTTCAAAATCATCCGCTTTTTAGTTCTCCATAAACGTCTAATACGCCATCCGCCGTGGGACACCCTGTATATAACTTAGGGCTTTTTTTATGATTATTTCATTCATTATAAAAAAGACCCATCAGAAAACGTCATTTTTTGAATGAATTTTGTTTAAATAAGTGATTATTTCACAAGACCTTGTTTATCAGCGATTAAATTTTTGTTTACCTTTTTTGACAGAATTTTGATAGAAATATTCTGACATTTTGTAATAAATAGAACTCTTTGGATAGGATTGACGCCAACAATTCAATCCTAATTATTCAGGAAATAATCTAGCCGTATACCACTCGACCTATAAATTTTAATGGATTAAACTATCGAAATATTTTTTGCATAATTTTGCTTTTTGGCAAATAGTTTCATGCACAATATCTTTTAAATAAAAGCCCTCGACCGCTTCGCGGTCTCGGGCTTTTATTAAGTTATTGTGCATTCAACTATTTTCCAAGCAAAATCATGCTCAAAATATGTTGGATAGTTTAATCGATTAAATTTAAAGGTCTTGTGATATAATATATGACTAAATTTTGAATTTAGACATTCTGAGCATTCTATTGTCATGCCATCAGTGCTCAGTTTTGTCATGGAGCAATACTGGTTGGAGGACAATAGCTTCGGTGGGTGGCTGGGCAGCTCTAATTGTAGTTAATAGAATGTCCGTCACATCTATGTTTCTTTTTGTATTGAACCCGTTATTCTGTCGTTTTTTATAGGACCTGAATAGTACTATAAATGTGATAAAAATTATGTAGTTACATTAGTTACTAATGTAGCACTGAGGCTCGTGACTAGGAGGTGCTTTTTCACTGTTACCCAATGCGTAGTCTCAGGTTGTTATTTGATGTTCATTTCTTTATTCCCGAATTCTTTGAGCTTAGTAGATGTATCAATTACAGGTTCCTCAATTAGTGTATTTCTCTTTCATACATAACTGGGAAAAATGATATATTTTGTAGTAAGTATGGGTTTGGAGAATTCTTCTAAAACAATTACAGTATCTGACCTTTTAGGAGTTAGCATGTTCTTATTTTTAATGAGGCAATTTGAAGCTATTTCTATAATAGCTGTTTGATTTAGTGCCACATCGTCCCAAGTTCCATCGCAAATAATGGCAATTTTAGTTTATTCAGGCGTTGTCTCTAGGCCTCTATTAGTCGTTGGTGAACATACGAAAACATTTTCTGCAATGTTTATACTATTGCTCAACTCATCTTCAGATATTCCGAAGTATAGCTGTGAATCATAATCTATTCCTAATACTTCGTTTGGAATATACAGGATCCAGTATGACTTTTTTTGTTTTCAATGAAATTGGAGTCGATCTGATAAGCATAAATTCGTTGTGTTCTATCATCATAAAATATGCATAGACGTGGACAAATTCTTCACTTTGTTCCACTTTTGTCTGAAGCACAGGATATAAGATATTATCTGGATATTGGACGGAATCTTTTTTGATGCAGATGCTATTATCTCTTCAACGCGGGTCGGAGATATTAAATCAAATAGGTAGTCTTTATGGTAGTCATCTAACAAGCGTCTATAATAGGTAGGTGGGTAGTCCAGAAGTTCATCTATGTTGCCACAAGCCCTCGGGAAATACACCATTAACCTCAAGCGTTAATATCCTTATAATACCCTTGCTACCTTAATAACTATTATGCTGTTGCTGTCAATGACATCAGCTTCAGTAGTTACAGAAAATTCAAAAGAGGTGCCACTGAAATCAGAAGTCCTATTTTGTATTTTTGTAGGTAGGTATTTCATATACAGATTGAAAGTGTTGTGCAAAAGCATTAGCAATGTCTTTCGAATTTGTACCTATATAATTTTTTATCATTTCTAATATTGGCTGGTATTCCAGTTTTTTTGGATTTGCCACGTATAAACTGCCAAAAGGAGGAAGGATCAGAATTTGAATTGCCTTCAATGTGGTGGTATGCCCTGTACTCTTATTTTTTTAAAGTTTTATACTACTCCTTAAGTTGTTAAAATGTTCGCACAAAGGTGGGCTTGTTGGTTTTTTTTTTTAGATAATGCGATGTAACCATTTTTTTTCCCCTAATTTTGCGAATCAAATGCATAGAATACCACAAAGGAAATCTAGGTTTATTACCAGAATTTTCGATTATTTGTTTAGGGACAGCCATGTCTAGGAAGCCATACCTACATATTGATGATATTTGAGACTAGAGTCCACATCCGTTATTGCAAACAGCTCCCCACAACTATGATTTTCAATGGGAATATAAGTACAAAAGAAGAAAATTTCGCTTTGAATAATTCTAATAAAGAATAAAAGTACCAAACAGTTTTTTTGCTCTACAGCCCAAATGGCTCATTTGCGGACATATGTTAATATAAACAAAAATGCTTGTTTTGATGTCCCCTACTACCTCTTAAAGTTTGTCGGTATCTATTTGGGACACCCTGTATATTATAAGCTCATTGGATAGTTCTGCTTTGCTGATTTCAAATGACATAAAATTCGATAGGTTTATCTGTAAAACAGTTTTCGAGCAAAAAACTTTTCTGTTTTTGTCATAAGAAACAATGTGTGACCTTTCTCATTTTTCTTACAGATAAAAAGTCCTTTTCTGACACATTGTTTCTTATGACAGACATGATAGGGATAAAGCTATTGAACTTTATATCATTGAAATCAGCGAAAGCAGAGCTCTCCAATGAGCTATTATTATACAGGGTGTCTCATTTGAAAATACGTATGTTTGCTTCATAATTTAAAAACTATTATTCCTAGAGAAAAACTGACTTCGCCACTGGAATCTACATAGGAAGATCTATAAGAGCCCAATGTTACCTTTCACTCACTTATGAGAGAACTGAGATACGAGGGGCATCCCAAAATGCAACATTTTCAAAAATCCCTTGTATCTGGAATATGAAAAGGACGATGGCAATTTTGTTGACGACATCTTTCGTTTGACAGAAAAGTAACCAACGGTCGCGCAACCGCATCCTTCTAACTCCCCTTAGCAACTATAAGATATCCCTTATGTACAACCAAGAAGCTCCTCCTAGGTATGAAAGGAAAACAATTAGTTTAGGAAATGTCAATTTCTGAGCGAGATACAAGAAAATGAACGCCTCACTCTGGGGCTCAAGGTTTCATGAAAAATTTTGATTGGTGCAAATCGCATTTTGATATCTCCAACCCTTTAGCCGCTAGAGAGGGTTTCTCGATTTTGAGCAATAAGTAACTGTGAAAGATTCATAACTTTTCTATTTATGAAAATAATTGATTTCCATAAAAACTTTCTAGAAGCACTTTTTCAAGCAGAATCCAGTAATATTCTCAGTATTTTTCTATTTGGCTCCAATTCTGAGATACTGACCAAAGTCGATTTTTTTCAATAAAACACCCTATACATATTTTATAATAGCTCATCGGATAGCTTTGCTTTCGCTGATTTCAATAATTCGATAGGTTTATCTAGTAACAGTTTTTGAGAAAAAAAAGATACATATGGATGTACATATGTATATCTGCATAAGGAACAATGTGTTAGAAAGAGGCCTTTCTCGTGCATTTTTCTTACATATATAAAGTCCTTTCCTAACACATTGTTTCTCTCGGAAACTGTAAAAAAAAAAACCTATCGAATTATTATTATTGAAATCAGCAAAAGTAGAGCTATCCAATGAGGATATATGGCGAACTTTGATCAATATCTTGAAATCGTCGCCATATAGAAAAAAAAATAAGAATGTCACTGGATTCTGCAGGAAAGTCTTCCTGGAAATCAATTTATTATTTTGATAAACAAAAAAGTTATAAAGGTTTCACAGTACCTATTGCTCAAAATCGAGAAACTCCCCATAGCAGCAAAATGGTTGAAGATATTAAAATGCGGTTCGCAAAATTTCTGAAGTTTGAGCAAAGGCTAAAATTTACCAAGATTCTTACAGAAACACAAAATGTGAGCCCTCAGTATTCTCCATCAAACAACACGTTTAAAATCAATTTTTTTATTCAAATAAAAACATCCTCAGTTCTGCCAAAGCCTCAAAACCTTATCCTTCCCGCCCGACACAACTTTTAAACCATCCGTGCTCCAGTCGACAGCATAAACCTCATCGGCGTGCCCAGGTAAATCGATTTCCAATTTTCCAGTCTGCAAATTCCACAATTTTATGGTAGAATCTGAGCTTCCACTGACCATTAGACGTGAATCTGCGCTGAAAGCCACCATATACACCGCCTGGACGTGCCCACGCAGAGTATGCATAAATTTACCAGTCTTGGCATCCCACAGCTTTATCGATTTATCAAATGAAGCTGAAGCCAAAATGCGTCCATCTGGGGAGAATTTAACATCGTTTACTAGTTGTTGATGGCCCGTGAGGCGTGCTAGAGGCTTTTTGTCTTTTGAGGGGTCCCATAAGAATAAAGTAAAATCATCAGAACCAGACACTAGTCGTTCTCCTATAGGCTCCGATACACCTTTAAACCTCTGCAAAGCAAATTCTTGAGATTTTTTTTTGTCATTGGTGCCTTTATTTGAGTCTTTAACAGGATCGAAGGCTCCAATTCGTAAAATATAATCAGTGTTCAGTGCAAGCGTATTCACCCAATGGCCGTGTCCTTCCAAGGTTCTACACAAAATACCATCACTGGCTCTCCACACTTTTACTGTTCTATCTTGTGAGGCTGAATAAATCAACCCTTGGCCACCCCATTTGATCATTGTAACACTCTTCATATGTCCCGCTATAGTCAACACACATTGACACAGTACGGAGTCCCATATTTTTATGTCAGTATCCTTTGAGGCGCTAGCAAATAGCCTACAATCAGGATTTTGATGGTAAGGCTCCCAACTTAATGAAGTAATCCATTGTTTGTGCCCAGACAAGGTTTTGCCTAGTTGCTTGCCTGTTTCTGGATCCCATATTATGATATTGCCATTTTTACAACCTGAAACAAGTTTACTACTGTCAGGAGCCCAAGCAATACATAAGACCCAATTTTTATGCCCTTGGCAAGTGTACAATGGTGATTGTGTGTCGATGTCCCAAAAACGTACAGTCGTATCGCCTGAACCACTAGCTAAATGTTTTCCATCTGGTGAAAAACTTACACTTATTACAGCTTCAGCATGACCAGGCATCGAAGCTGTACATCTTGTCACTGGACGTACTTTAAATACAGCTTGATGTTGGTACACTATGTCAGTAACACCTTCAGTGTTGATTTGTGTAAGTTTTAAAGTTTCTTGCAAATTTGAGGTAATTTCGTTTTCGTTTACAAAAAATTTGAATGGTACTTGGTCGGTTTGCTGTAGTATTGCGTTGCATATCAGGGCTAATTGGTGTACGGTGCAATTCAGGGGCAAATCTATCGATTCACCAGCTATTTCACCATTTTCTGATATGAAACGACACAGGAGTCGTTTTGTAGTGTCTTCGGTTTCAATATTGTTTTCCATAGTTGCACTTTTATCGTCACTGAATTTAATTATATAATTACAGCTTGAATGATTACGAATTATATATTTGATAAAACATTAATTAATAAATAGAATATTTATCAAATAAGTACCCATGCATGTCTCATGTTTTTATTTATGAAAAAAGTGAGGTTAGGAATTTTCCAATGAGGTGTTTTCTTTCAGCTTTCCGTTGATGAAATTATCTTTTACTACTAGGAACAGCGAAAGGAACAGTTTGCTGGAATCTAGAACCACGACAAGTAGAATTCTACACCTTTTCCAATTGTAATTCAGAAACCGTCACTTGTAATTTGTAATTGAGAATAGTCAAATGTAATTGAGAAAGCGTTACATGTAATTGAGAATAGTTAAATGTTATTCAGAATTCGTTAACTGAAATTGAGAATAGTCAAATGTTATTGAGAAACCGTCAAATGTTATTGAGAATAGTTAAATGTAATTGAGAATTCGTTAATTGTAATTGAGAATAGTCAAATGTAATTGAGAAACAGTCAAATGTTATTGAGAAAACGTTAAATGTAATTCAGAAAGCATCAAATGAGATTCAGAATAGGTCAAATGGAATTGAGATAATGGAAATGCGAAAATTTCATATACATACAAGGTGACACAAATTCGTGAGAATTTGTGGGGATATCGGAAACCGTAAAACATTTTGGTTGAATAATAATTAATAATATCAGAACCTATATTATTGAAATGAAAGTTACATAGAATTCTAATTAAAAAACAAACAGTTCTCAAAACTATCGTCCAACAAGCATTGGTTCCATAGCTAAAGCCGCCTCATAGAATGTCGTCGAATGTTGCGTAGCGCGGGCACAGTCACCATTAACTATAGTGGTTTCAGCCAGGGCCGGCCCTACCATAAGGCGAACGGAGCGGGCGCTCCAGGCGCCAGGCCTCGGGGGGCGCTCCGACTCGTTCCTTGGTGATAAATAAAAAAGGAAACAAAGCAAGCGTGTATATGCACGTGACCGAACACAGTAAATGAGGCAATTAATTTTTTGAATTTTAAGATATTTCTTATATCGGTGAATAGAGTATACGATTCAAATTTAAAATAGGGGCGCCAAACAGGGGCGTAGCCAACAGGGGGGGAGACGGGGGAGCCTCCCCCCCAGGGCGCAGCTGGCATAGGGGCGCCAAAATAGGCCAAAGTGTAAGAAATAAATAATTTTTTTTAGCCAAATGGCAAGTGTAATAGTTATTTACCTAACAAATGCGGAAAGTGATACTTTACCGCACGCAACGGCAGTTGACCGAACGACGCGAAGCGGAGTTCGGTCAAGTTGTTAAGGGCACTTTCCGCATGTATTAGGTACAAAATTTTACCTATGAGCATCTACATCTCCAAAAAAAGGCATTGATAAAATTAATTAATGAACCAGTTTAATTAATGAAATTAGATAAGAATTAGAAATGATCAAAAATTCATTTTCTGAAAAAGAGAGGATTTTTTATTATAAATATCAAATTCTACTTTACGGCACACTATGCGGTAAATTTGCACTTTACCGCACACTTTGTATTCTACTTTACCGCATACTATGCTGTAAAGTTAACTTTACCGCACACTATGCGGTAAAATGCACTTTACCGTATAGTGTGCGGTAAAGTGATACTTTCCATTTGCAAATACGTTCGGTAAAGTGCACTTTACCGCACGCTCGTAGGTAAAAAAGTTTCCGTGTAGGTAGGCAATTGAATAGTAGGTATACTATTTTACAAATATTACAATTTAGAATGGATAGTATTTTAATGCTAATTCAGCATGCATTTAGACGCTGGGCTTGAGGGCGCCCGAGCACGCCCCAGTCAAGAGTTCCATTTATCTCTGAACACGCCCTAATCAAAAGTTCCATCAAAACGGGACGCATTTTTCCGTTTCCCATTTGGTTACCACTACATAGAACGCTAATCCTTTAGGAATTGTAAAATTATATCTGGCATCCCGTTTCCTATTAGGCCAGCGCACATTGTTTACCGCTACATGAAGCGCTAATCACATATAGGACTTGTTAAATTGTATCTGACGTCGCGTTTCCTATTAGACCAGCGCACACCCTCTGTGATCGTCTGCAGACATCCATTGCAATGCATTATCGTTGTCATTTTTTGAGGTTAATTGGTGGTTACAGGTGGCGCGATAATTTTGCAATATTTCTCGTTGTGTCTCGTTTTATTATTTCTGTTGATTTTACACTGAGAAATTCTCTAGCCAAAAATTCTTTAATAATGGATTTTTGGCAGAAATTTTAGCTGTAATTGCAAAACGATCCTATTCTAAATAGTAGTAGAACGCACTTTACTAAGTTATCAAAAAGTACCTTGGTTGTAACAGTAACCTTCTTTACTGCCACTAATACTTTTTTCCCGTTACAGTAGAAACACTTATTTTTAATAAGTAGGTATCTATATTTGCTACCGCGGCAAAGTGCTTGCCTGGAACTATGAGAAAGTGTTGCATAAGTTTTTTCTTATTACTGCTGGAAAGAATTTTACTGCTACAAAAAAAGTTAAATTCTGCAAGTTGTTTTATTATTGAAAACCAACTCAAATGGTTGGCAATATGAGCGTAGTTATTTAATTTACGTGCGCTGGTCCAATAGGGAACGCGACGTCGGATATAATCTAACAAATCCTAGTCCTATAGGAGCTGCGCACCATGAAGCGGTAGACAATGTGCGCTGGCCTAATAGAAAACGCAATGCGAAATATAATTTTCCTAAAGTCCTAAAGGATTAGCGCTCCACCTAGCGGTAACCAAATACGAAACGGAAAAATTTCAACGGCATGACGGAAAGTCGGTGTCGCGTCACTCTCGGTTTTGGTGACGTAATCACGTATTATTGATACTGATCGATCAATAGACAATAATGAACCACATTTGTTTAAAATTGGCAAAATTTGAATGTGGTCTCCAAATATATATATTTTTTTTCGCCCTTGGATTGACTTCGCGGCGCTTAAGGGGCGCCGGATCTTAGCCTTCCCCCCCTAGGTATATTCATATCGCTACGGCCCTGGCGCCAAAGTAGGATCTCGCTCCATCCTAATAGTAACCTCGGAGCGGCACTGGTTTCAGCATGGTTCACTATCTCTTCTAAATAAGCCAATCGCTGTTCAACTACTCGGCCCATTCACTTCTGGTACTCGTAAATTACGTTTAACATAAGTTTTTATCTTGGACCAAATGTTCTCGATGGGATTCACCATTGGCGAATAAGGAGGTAGCCTTATGCCTGTATGCACCATTTTCAGGTATTTTCGTAATTAGCTAATCAGGGCTAATTATGTAATCACGGTTAAAAAAGTCGATTCGATGTACCAAAGGATTTTGCATTTGCCTGGTATGCACCATTACACAAATTGAAATTCTCTGATTAAACTTTAGCCGTGATCACATAATATTTTTCGTATGCACCAAGCGTTTTTTTCGCCTAATCGGCAATTAACTTAAATCGCTCGATGGCCTGGAATTTAGGATAACCGCGGCTATAATGAAATGAGGTTAGAATGTTTTGTTTTTACATTTCAAAAACATTTTTGTCCCCAAAAAATTACTGGAAAAATAGTGTGTAGTGAGGGTGAGCAGGGAGAAATCAAATAAGGAATATGGAGATGGACCACCTATTATTTGACGAGGATTTGGATACTGATAAATAATGATTGTGTTAGATGGGCTTCCAACGCGTTGGAATGAGACGGAAAATTATTTTGAAGCCTTGGATGGATGATCTTATAAACCAATAGTCGTAGATCTTCCTGAAGAGGTGGAAGATGCCCTAACTTAACTTATGATAGGGTGGTGTAGTATTATATGCAATTTTATGGCTTGATTCCAGTAACTAATGACTATGTAATTACGGTAATTACTGTTTATTTCAAATAAAATGCCCAGGATGCTTTGTTTGTTTGTGTATACTGTATACCTAAAATTTATTCATCGAAAAAAACGCAGATATGGGGTCTCGCCAACCCAAAATTGGCTATTATCAGGGCCAAATACTGGAACTGATCTTCACAGTGGGAACTGATCCACTGCAAAATAAACAGGTCCGGTCCAAGTTCGAGTTCAAGTCCGGACCACTTTTGCGTTGTCTACGTTGTACGGACTCGGAGTCAAACTCGAACTAATCGGATCACGCCGCGCCGGCCAGTGGAACAGGAAAAAGTGTGGACTCGGAGTAGGGACACAGATTCAGAGACGGAGTACATTACACCGACAGACTCGTTTCGATCAACGGCTCCGGATTGTCGGGATCACGCCGCACCGGTGCGGCCGCTGGAACGGATAGAGTACGAGAGTGAACCGCCGATAGGATATAAAGCTGCTTTCCAGTATGTAGCTGTATTCCTTTCAAGAGTTTGAAACACTAGAGCTACTCGCTCCGGTGTGTCAACCCGATTTGAAAGGAACAGATTCGCCGACTTTCGTGCATTTATGGTTTACTTTGGGCTTGAGTACTCAGGTGCAACAAACACTTTTCGGAAGGAATAAGCGCGTAACGCCCCGGAGCCTCTATGCCCGGAGCTGTTCTGGAGCTCCTCATACTATTCACCATTTTCACCTATTTTCGTTATTAGCTAATCACGGATAATTATGTAATCACGGTAAAAATGTCGGTTCGATGCACCAAAGGATTTTGCACTCAAATTAGTTAATTGTGATTTTGTAATGAGGGCCACCTGAAAGGAACTCACCGATAACGTCGCAAATTTCCTATAGATTTTAATAAAAGGCAATAAAAGCCTATTTTAGGTTGGCGGTATGCAGGGGCGGATGGGCTCAGGCGGGACACCGGGACGATTCCCAGTGGGCCGTAGACCAAATGGGCCGGTTTAGGAAAAAAATAAATGATAACAATGCGCCGCAACTTAAAAGAAAAAAAAATCACTTAAGGCGTGATGCGACAATACTCTCATTTTTTAGAATTTATAAATAAAAATATTAGTCGTATTGTTAGAAAACTTATCGTCAACTTTTTGAAAATTGGCTACGTTAAAGGAACTGGGAAATCTTTAATTTTTCCTCAACAGTCAAATCAACAGAAAGCGATCTTTGTTTTT